TAAGAAGATATTCTTAGCTCGCAAAAATTGAGTACAATTTCTGAAAATTTCATTTGTATAATATGTATAGGAAATGTGACATATGATAATGCCCAAAAAAACTAATCATTCTGATTGGCTGTTAGACCATGGTCAGACCGAGAAAAACGCAAGTCGAGAAAAGTTTTTTTTGTGTGTGTTGCCTTTTGTCAAATTTAATCCAATAGTTTGGTGGATGGTTAGACCACGAGGTCCAGTAGCGGGGACAATACGTTGATATATAGATGTTATTTACCGGCTATAGGTCGGTCCGTATAGGAAAACACTGCACGAGGTCTTAGAACGAGCGCAGCGAGGTCCGTTCATAAAAGACCGAGGGCAGTGTTTTCCTATACGGACCGACCTATAGCTGGTAAATAACATTTTTATTTTTTTTATTTGTATTTTATGCAACTTTGCTCGCAGCCTAGCTATACCGTCGGACCGGGCAGATCGTGAAAAACCGGACCGCGCGCTAGCCAATCACAGCGCGCGAATGACTAGGATACCGGACCGAAAAAAAGTGGACTATCAACTCTAGTCCACTCGACCTCGCGTGATGTAATTGTTAATTTATCATCTTATAATAGTGGCTGCAGTTGAAATTAGTTACGTAACGAATGTCGGGCAGAACTAGAACATATCAACATGTTTTCCATTTCACTGCGGTTGAAAAATCCCAGCTAATTTCAAAACGTTTGGTACAGAATACATTTTCGGAAACCAGAAGTAATTTCCTCGTGTCGCTCGTTCTTCACTCCCAAAATAATGGAAACAAAAACGGTTTGAATTTCTCGATAATTACAAATAAAATCGATAAAATATCATGAATGGATTTCGATGAGTTCAAAATCCCTCAGAAAACTCACTTTTACGTTTATTTTTTTAACACCAATACCATTTAATTTAAATACCATTTAATCTGATCAAGACACATGAGCTATGTGTATTTTCGTAGAGGGCAAAACTGACAATATAGGTTATTGCATGTAACTGGCCACAGCGTGTGACTTCAAATTCCGAAACAAGGTCTATTAAACAAACTGCGAACACGTTAAACCCCACGTGTTTGCCCTTCCATTGAAACTCAAGACTTAGGGCCTCAGGCATTTTGGAGGCAATTTGAACGTTTGCATGAGCTTTGCGTTATGTAATATTTCAAACGCGGTACTATACATGAATGTACTCGATCGTAAACGCGAAAAAGAATTCAAAAAATTCAAAACCCCTCCCGGGTCTTCCCAGAAATTCAAGACCGGCATTAATGACAATGGGAAAGGGCGTGGCCAGTTTGTACAAGGGGTAATATTTCTGTAATCAAGAAGCGAAGGACAAAAGATTGCTCCTCCGAATGCTACTGTATAGTGATTTTTATAAGCAATTTCCTTGAATTCCTTTGGAAGTACTTTTTTGCTGTTAGGTTACACCTTTTCATGGAAAGGACGATTTCAGTATAGATGAT